CACACACACACACACACACACACACACACACACACACACACACACGAAGACAGACAACAAGAAGTTCTTCCTGGGTAGCAGACTTGAAACAAAGGCACTGTAGAAAGCTAGAGGCAGCTTGGGCATGAGTCACCTCTCAGCCCAGGAGCAGAACCATCCTTAGACCTTGGGAAGAGGCGTCTGTCCTGGGTTCTGCCCTCCCCATGTTGCCCACCTCCACACAGGGCCAAGGGGGTGAGCCCGCACAGAATCCACACCCCTTCCGTACCACGTCCAGGCAAGCGGGAAACTGCGGGATTCCTGCCCAGCACGGCCCCTGCCTTCTAGGCCTGCAGGTCTCTGACTCTGGTCCTTCCTCCCCAGAAGTGCGGTAGCACTACAGGTGGCATGTGCACACTTAGGCCAAAGGAGTGACCAGGGGCAGTTATGGTGGGGCTGGGGGGCGAAACACAGCAAGGACGTGTGGGTTAGGGTATCTCCATGCCTATACTGGAGGCCCTTTAGGGTGCAGACAGGGCCAAAGGTGCTAAGGACGGGAAGGTGAGATGGCCCAGGGACTGGGGACCAGGGAGCAGTTCTCCTGGGGCTGCCATGTCCTGACAAGGTCTGAGAATGCTAAATCCCATGCTGACCTGTCAGGTCGCCGTGGAGGTGTGCGTGTCGCTATCGCTGACGTGCAGTTTGCTGGCTGGCTCTGTAACTTGTTTAGCTCTGTGATATGTGGCCTCCACTGGAACTCCTGCCCCTGCCAACTAGCCATTGGGGGCAGGACTTGTTCAGGATGACCCCTCAGGGCTGGGGAGAGGACACAGCACAGGAGAGCCTCAGTCACCCCCAGTCTGCTTGCTGGAGTGGGCCCCAGCATCGCGGAGAGCTGGGTGCACAGCAGGATGGTGCAAGGCCCTGGAGGGACACGGCCGTGGCGGGGGGTGGGGGAGGGGGTGTGTGTGGCAGACTCCTGCCCCTTTTGCTGCCCTTTGTCCAGGGGAGGAGCCTTGAGACCCGAGGCTGCCCACAGCCGGTGCTGTGGGCGTGTGCCCCGCCAGGGAGGGCTCTTAATTATAGAGGTAGCTACAGCGACACTTCACTGCAAGGCGTGTGGGCGGGGATGGAATGTCCAAAGGAAAACAGGAGACAAGAAAACAGAGATAGGACAGGCCAGAAATAGTACAGGCGAGGGCGAGATACCAGGGGCCAGTGGTGGTGGAGGGAGAGGCCGGAGGAGGGTCAGGACCTCTCCAGAGAATGTCTGTCCCTGGTCGCCTGCCCCCTTACTCGCCCCAAGCCCCCAAGGTACAATTCCAGGGCTTCTGGAGCCCAACGGGACAGGCTCCTACCATTAGGACTGTGTCCTGCAGCCCAGTCTCACTGGCCTCTAAGCAACCCCCTCCTCCTCCTGAGTGGTTTTGGCGGGGAGAGAGGGAGTGAGCCCTTGCCACCTGAGTCACCCTGCTTCCTGCTCCTGGCTTGGGCGACTCCACAGGCTGACACAGCTGGGGCCCCACCTGCCCTGCCAGCCT